TTCGTTCATTCCTGTCACGGATTTGGCAGTAACAAGCTTATACGTAGATGAATAAATATGTAGGTTTGTTTGGGTTTGTTTTTGTTCTTTGTTTACGGATTGCTGTAGTAAACATGGTATTATTCCATTTGCTGGGGATGGGAGGGTGCATATTCTGGTTTAAAGGCTGGAACCAAGCATGCCTAGATGGGAGGTGAGTCATTTTATTGGGCTCTGTTCTCAGGGCGTCTAGCATAAAAGGAATTCTAATCATTCACACAAAGTCATGCAAAGCTCAATAAAGGTTTTGGAAAGCAAGAAGGGTACGAGGAGGAGAGGAAAGCTTCCTCACGCTAATGGGTTTACAAAGAAACTCAGGGCCACTTTTAGAACCTCAGCCCCTTGATCATAGTCCTGAGGGTTCTGTGTTCTTCCTGGGAAGAGTTTCCCAGGGACCCCTTCTCAGGCACACCACAGCAGCTGGAGAGCTGAACGTGACTTAGGAAAATTGGGTTCTGCAAATTTTCAGCCTGCTCCATCTTCATTTGGGGCTGACCTGTTGACGATGTGGGGAAGCCACCATCAGTTTGCCTTTCAAAGCCATCACCCAAAGGGCTTCATTGTTTTAGAGCAATACACTAAATTGAAAGTTTAAAATCATGGAACCCTGTGCACCTGGGTTCCACTCAGTTCTCTGGCTTAGTATCCCAGTCTTGAGCCTCTTGGGTACAATTAAAAAAATAAAAATAAAAATAACTCCTGCCTCTTTCAGGCGGGGGCAAATGGTGTCAGACTCACTGCTTGGAGTTGGGGAGGGCCGGAAGTCCAAGTTCGCACCAGACTTCCAGCTCATCTTGCTCTCTCCTGGCCTCCACTTTCTTCAATATCTGCGGGTTCCAACTTCAACATCGTGCTTTGTGGTGCTGTCCTCTGGAGGCACTGAGGTGTGACGTGACTCCACCTGCAAAAGTCCCTTCTCATCCTTCCACCCACTGGCCACGTTCCAAATCAAAGAGGTCTCCTGATCCCAGGGGATAGGAGCTTGCAATTTTATTTCATGATCTCATTATTTGGGCTTAACCTGTGGAAGAAGAAAAAAATATTACTTTTCCATCATCCTGAAATCAAAGGGGTCCCTCCCTTCCCCCAGAAGGAGAGATGGCATCTGCCATTGAAGAAAAAGTAGAAGAAGGGGAGGAGTCTTAAGATGAAGCGTCTGGAAGAGAGGCTTTTGTTGTTTTCTTGCTGTGTTGATAAAGCTGCAGCTAGAATGCTGTGCTGGCCCTGGGCCGGGCACATTTATCATCTGTCATCAGTGTGATAATCCTGTGAAGCAAATATTGTCCGTGTTTTATGCATGAGGAATCTGAAGCTCAGCAAGTTTCAGAAATGAGCCCAAGTGCCCTGACCATTGTGGCTCGGTTGGTTAGGCATGATCCCGCAAAGCAAAAGGTTGCTGGTTCAATTCCTGGCCAGGACACATGCCTGGGTTGTGGGTTCCATCCCCAGTTGGAGCGCATGCAGGAGGCAGCCAATGGATGTGTCTCTCGCACATTGATGTTCTCTTGCTCTCTTTCTCCCTCCCTTCCCCATTTTTTAAAAATAAACAAATAAAATTCTAAAGAAAGAAAAAGAAATGAGCCCAAGGCCACATCCTGAGACCTTCAAATGACAGAGCCAGGATTGTCAGCCAGATTTACCTGACTCTAAAGCCCGCTGCACATAGCTTGGCACCAAGAACTCTAAAAAGTGCAGTTTGTTCTCTCATTGTGTTTTTTTAAAAAAATCAGCTATATCTGGTACATGTCTGGCAGTTATGGAAAGGAAATCCCAAGTAAATCTTAGGAAAATTTACTGTTGCCTTGGAGTAAGTGTTGAAATATTTCTTGCCTACTAACTCACTTGACCTTTCGAAGTCCCTTTTAGTCCTCTGATTCTGTAGGCAGGGTTTTTTTTCTTTCTTAGAATCTGATAACTAACAGCAGACAGTCAGATGACTGTATCTGTTATCTTCATTGTCTTGATTTAGTTTTTCCTTCCAAAAGCTCTCACACACTGGTCGATGGGCTCTATTTCGGGTCACACTGTTTTTTTTATTTATGGTTTTTTGTGTGCGTTACTACTCAGAGGCACCCAGGGGAGACCTCCACAGCCTTTCCTGATTACCAGATGTCGCCCTTTCTATTGTAACAACCATCTACTCGCCACTTCCTCTTGCCAAGAAATGAGAAAAGCATTTGCTTTTGGAAAACTGAGCTGAGACACGTGAAGCGTATTAAGAAGGGCGGCCGCCCCTGAGTCTGCATGAACTTTCGCCGTCTTGGTTTATTTTGCTTAAAGATAAAACGCACACAGCCTTGTTTGCAGTGAGGGCTAACAAGTGCTTGTGTAGCAGGGAGGAGATTCCACTTGGGCTGTTTCGACTTCATTATACGTAAATTATGTTCTAAGTAATCTTTAAACCAGTATGTCATGTGCAGCCAGTGTTTGTTTTTTTATACTTTGGAATATTTCGTTGTTGATTTTAAATGGTGATTGATGATGGATGAGTGTTTAACATGCAAAATAATGCTGTATCCCCAGGAATTCTGGGGGAGACAGAGGACACAGAGGAATCTCAACCCTTCTTCTCTTGAGCAGAGACATGGTATTAGTTATGCAATTAAGGAAAAGCAGCCAAGGGGAAGTGAACTCTTAGCTGACAGGTATTTAAATGAAATGCACCCATCCTGAAGCTCAGATCTGCTCCTGACAGAGCACCACCTTTTGAAAACAAATCGCATTTGATTTCATAAAAAGGCAAAGGACGGGTTACTTTGGACTCCACTGTGTGGACAATCCCAAGCGCCCGAAATGCTCAAAAAGGGTCAGAACACCCAAGTTTGATGCCTTAGATGTGGAAAGAGAGATTGTGAGGATTGCATCCACTTGCATGAACTTTAAAATGCCATTGAACATCTCTGAGGTTACACCTTGGATGCGCCATTTAAGTAGAAACAGACAAGTAGAACCATATGTTTAAATGTGGTGTTATCCTTGAGACACGAGTATCAAAAACACATGCTTTTCCCCTTCATCCAACTTTCTCATGAATCGCTTGAGTTTCAGACCATCAAGTGCATTGCTTTTCCTCATATAGTTTTCAGTCAGACAGCCTCGTATTATACAGTGAGTAATAACCGTAAAATTGTGATGAATGCTGTATTAAGCCAGTTTTCTTTTTTGATTGTTAGGAATGTGGACTTTCTTAAACTCTGGACAACTAGGCAGAATTTTAAGTTTCATGGACTATAAAGGTGCATCCACAACCTCTGTTAGAAATAGTAATTATCATAAATAGTGTATACCCCTTGGGCTCCTTTTGCCATGTGAAACTATAATTCGGCTAGAGATGGTAGCAAATAAGGCCTCATGGGGAAGCTCTGGATGTTGTCACACATCATGCGTATCAGTACATTTTATTTATATGTGAATAAATAAATGTACATTAAGATACATGCATTAAATACACACACACACACACACACACACCCTCCCCCCAACATAAAATATGCTGAAGACTCAGAATAGTCCACATCGAGTGGACAGGTACAGGTAGGCACATGTGTCCTTGCAAGGCAGGGGGGGGGGGGCCTGAGCTATTTCACTCCAGTCCATTTCCAGAGCATCCCAAATGCCACCAGCTTTTGTGGGGGATGCCCATGGGTCATGCTTTTGAAGAAGGCTGCCTGTTGCAGCTGGGCTGCACATGAGACGCGCTGCAGGGCCGAAGGAGGTGGGGGTGTTGCACCCGCCAGGGGCCTCAGAAACTTCTCCTGCCAGATGGGATGCTTACAAGTTGTATACGTTGTTCATAAATTTGATGGAAAGTGTTCAAGTGATGGATCGAATAAAAGTTTCATAAATTTTAAAAGTTTTGGGAAGAGATTGCTGAAGTTTCCCTCTCACCTGGCAGGCGGCAATCCATCTAGCAGGCCATCCACAGGAACTGGTTTGACCTATAACATAGTTAGATTATACTAATATTGCAGAAGTAGAAAAGAGTGCTCTTAAACTGTTTCACTACAACGCGATGGGAAAAAGACATGTAAGAGTGTCAAACTATCCTTCAACAGAAGGCCTTGTCTAACCCGTTTGAAGGTTCTGATCCCTAACAAAGGTGAGCACTAGCTTTAGTTCCCGCCTTTGACTATAATAATAATAATAATAACAACTGTGTCAAAATTTCAGCTCCCCTCCTAAACCTGCCTGCTTTGGCTTACTCTCCAGAACTCTCAGGTGAACGCTGACTCTACTCTGTCCGGAGCGGATAGTTGTTATCTGTCCAGGGGCTGGTCTGTTAGGGGCCCGCGACCCCGTGGCCAAGCTGGGATCTCTCCAGTGGAGACCGGCGCTCAGGGCTGGTGGTGCCCTTTCTCTACCTCAGGCGGAGACGTGAGACTTGCATATCTATGTTAGGAGTTGCCTGATGGATGTTTTTTTAGCCATAGACAATTCCGGTCCTTTTCAGTCCCTTACGTGGTACAAGCATAAAAAAACACTCCAGTGGGAGTTAGAATGTTTGCGTTGCAGTCCCAATCTTGTATCATGATTAGCAATTATGTTATAATTATCCAGTGATTATTATACTTAGCTAATTTTCTTATAAGTAGTTAGTCATGTGAATCCTTGGTGCGTAGGAGAGCCTCAAAGGTTCTTTTCAGACTTATACCCTGCAGACCTGTAATTATCTAATATAAGTATCTTGAAATCTCTGAGTTAATTCCCTTCATAGGATTCAAAGGATTAATTTCATATATTATGTGGTGAAAAGGACATTCTGCTAGTAGAAGATGTGGTCATGTGATATCGACAATTATTTTTTATTTTAATCTCAGATTTCCTTTGAAATAATTCATCCTGATTTTGTGCCTCAGCTTTTCCTGGGCACAAGTTATTTCATTCAAAACTAATAAAAGAATTATATTTTTTTTATCTAAAACACCCCATTTAAAATGCTTTTTTATTTGTTTGTCTCTTAGGAAAAAGTGCTGCAAAGGGTATAAATTTGTTCTTGGACAATGCATCCCAGAAGGTATGTAATATAAATGATTATGTCTTCTCACCTTATTCATGACTAATCCTCAGATGTCTATAAAGTTCAGATGTGCCTGGAATGTATATGTGTTATTTGTGTCTAATTATCTGCACATGTGTATGTAATTTCTACTTGGGGCATTAAATTATTCTAATTTCAATTTGGTTACATGGAGGATGCTCTGTCTAAATCATAACACAACATGTATAAATATGTTGAGTAATTTTCTTATCAGCATTTCACACCCAGAATACAACCACTCTCCCCTACCCATCTACCTGCTTGTCATGTGTTAAACTGGAAGTCCCGTCACATGAGCATCAACAAGCCCTGTGTGCAGCCCATCCCTGAAGTGACAGAGACTCAGCCCTCAGGGTACCCACCTGCACGCTGAGTAGATGGGACCTGGATAGCGCAGAATCAGAGAGACCTGGGTGTTCATCACAGTTCCACGTTGCCCTCGTCCATTCAGATTGCTATAACAAAAATACCTTAGACTGGGGGGCTTAAATAACAAACATTTATTTCTCACAGTTATCACGGCTGGGAAGTCCAAGTCCAGGCACTGAAAAACTCAGTATCTGGTGAGAGCTTTCTGGTTCACACACAGCCATCGCCTTCCTGTGTCCTCACATGGGCAAGAGAGCTCTCTGGGGTCTCTTTTTTAAGGTCATTAATCCCATGCATGAGCACTCCACCCTCAGGACCAAATCACCTCCCAAAGTCCCTCACCCCCAATACCATCACATTGGGGTGAGGATTTCAACATAGGGATTTCAGCAAGATACAAACGTTCGGCCTATAACATACACATCCTACTAGCTATGACCTTGGGTAACATACCTTCTAAATCTTAGTTTTTGCACTAAGTATTAGTACTTGACTCACATGGTTGTTTGAAGACTATTACCACATATAAAGTACTTGGAACAGCGACTGCCTCTTACTAAGTCTTCGTAGGTGGTGGTTGCTGCTGCTGTTGCTGCTGTTGTTATTAATGATTGAAATGTGTGCGATAGAGGCCGTCAGAGCAGCAAATGTGCAGAGGGACATGTGGCACAAAGGACCAGGGTGGTCCGAGGTGGTCTCTAGGAGGAGGGGAGACTCGCATTAGGTTATCAAGGAGGAGGGGAGACTCGCCTAGACAGGCAGGAGGACAGAGGCTGCCGGGTTTCCCAGCCCTGACACAGGAAACACCATGAACCGTTTGAAGAGCATGAGGTTAGTTTGCCCAGGGCTGGGGACAGGAGGGTGGGTGACGTGAAATGGTTTTCTTCACCGTTGCCCATGAGGCCACGTCTCTACAGAGGACTTGAGCCCAGTCAAGCTAACTCATGTGGTGTTATCCCATGGAGAACAATTATTTTTTATCAGTCAGAAATCCGTGAATCCCTCCTGTTGATTGCTCCCTTCAGTGGAAGGACGGCTGAGGTCATGAATCCATTGCTGTGACCTCTGAGAAAGCTGCATTAGGAGGGTTGTTTAGGAAATCTCATCGTTCGTGATGATTTGTGAGGCCCTTGGCCTCTGCAAGGCTGAATTTCCCACCGACAGCCAGTTCCACTGGTTAGGGCTTGGTGGGAAGAACCACAGCAATCAAAATAACTGCATTCTGTTAAAAGCCAGCTTTTCTCAGTAACCAGCTGCGTCTCTTATATTTCAATGTGGCAGCTACTGGAAGAGAATTAAGTTTGGCCAATCAATTTAAGATCCCAGTTAAAGACCTTGCCCAAACTAATTAAAAACGCATGACATAGATACCGCATACTTAGAGTTAAACGTTAGGTATGGTGGTTTCAAACGTCTAGGCCTAAAACTAGTCTCCCTCACCCTAAAGCGGGACTTAACACCTCTGATTAACACAGCCTAGAACTGAGAAAAGCGGTCTCAGGAGCTGAAAGCTGCTCTGCTGTAACTAACCCTTTGCTCGATTGCTTTCGCTAGAACACTTTCAAAAGTTGATGTGTTTTAATCTGTGAGAACAAGTCAGTACTGTTTACCTTTTACTAAGATGTCTTTAGTCAAAAAGGTTTTTATTGCCCCAAAATGCAAAGTATTAATGTAGAATCTCAGAAAAGATGGTATATTAGTTAAGATTCTTGAAAAAGAGATTAATGTTTAAGGAATTGGTTGACAAGGTTGTCTTGTCTGGCAACTCCAAAATCTGCGGAGTAGGCCGGAGGCATGGAGCCCCAGGGGACAGCTCGCATTTGACTCCAAAGACCGCCTGCTGACTCAGTTCCCTCATCAGTAGCAGGGCAGGTCCCTCTGCTTTCTAGCAAGGCCTTTAACTGGTCGGTGAAGCCCCCCACCACTGGGGAGGGCAATCTGCTTTATCCTAAGTCTACTGACTTAAATGTTAATCTTATCTTAAAAAGTATCTCCACAGAAACATCTTGAATAATGTTTAACCAAGTATCTGGGTAGTGTGACCTAGCCAAGCTGACACATAAAATTATCCATTACAGAAAATAAAAAGAGATGAAAATGTCTTTTTAAAAAATAATAAAAATAGTAATATACTAAATAAAGAGTAGAAGCTGTAATTAAAAGTGTTACTTGTTGTTGTAAGTCAAGAGTCAGTAATCTGTGCTTGTGGGCCAAATCTGGCTCACTGCTTGTTTTTATAAATAAAGTTTTATTAGAATGCAGTCATACCCATTAATTTAAGCATTATCTATGGCACTGTTTGCCCTATAACAGCAGAGCTGAGTCGTTGCAACAAAAGCCTGCAAAGCCAAAAATATTATCTGGCCAACCAGATATATTTTCCTCCCGGCCCCTCACTCCCTGCTGTGTTATCTTAACCAACCAGGTAACAGGGTGATCTGATTGATTCTAGTTCAACAGTTAGCAATTGGACATAAATATAGCAAGAGAGTAGTGCTATTACTCTGGGAACACAGTCCCTGAAAGATACCCAAACAAGTGTAGGAACTAGGAATTGAAAGAGCAGAAGAGCAGGTAAAGCTTTCATTGTGTGTCAAGCATTGAGCTTAATGCATCATCTGATGTAATGCAGTTGGTATTATGGCTACCTTATTTTAAAGGTAAAGAAACTGAGGCTTAAAGAACCCAAGATCGCAGAGATAGTGGCAGGGTTAGGAGGGTAGGCTCCCAACTCTTCACCTTACCGTGGAGCCTCCTAGAATAGGGTCTGGCACAGGGGGGGCATTCAGTCACCATATGAGAGCCCATGAGCATGGGATGTGCAGAGCACGGAACATTGATGCCTAGAGGTGAGGCTTAGTTAGGAAAACATGTTTGGCCCAGGACACACACACAGGCAAAGCAGGCCTGGAATCTCCATCACAGGAACAAGTATTTATCCAGGTCATCATGTGAATGGCATGAGTTTTGTCACACTGACCCCGCCCACAGCAGGGCTGCCAGCCCCCCCACTGCGCCTTCACATGGGGCAGAGTGAACACATCCACGGAAAGCTCATCTGTCAGCACCTGGGGAAGATAGTGCAGTGATTAATGAGATGCTGGGCCTAGTCAGCAAGTAAATATTCAGCCTGAGTGCCTGACTTAGAGCCAAGTCCCTTCAGAGGCTCGTTAAATATCAGTTTGTAAGGACAGGGAGGAGGAGGTGCTCTAAGTCCTTACTCGTAATAGACCACCCACCCCAGTGTGCACCGGCGTGAGACTGGCACATGATCTCTAGCCCTTCGACATTCCCCAGCCCCTTCTCAGCGTGCAGAATCAATGCCCAGGCATACACACGTACAACGCACACAAAACTCACACATATCTCCCTTCCGAAGCCTCCCTCACCCTCCTCGGAGCCAGCCTGACTTCAGGTCCTGCTCCCCACGTTATGACGGCCACGCCCATCACCAGGGCTGGCTGAAGGAACTTCCTTTCTCTGCAGCCGTTGGTTTTAAAAAAGGAAGAAAGAAATCAAAATACAGGCCCAGGTTCTGCTGCAGAGCAGAACCTGGCCATCCAGGCACCTTTGCTCTTGGGATGAGTGACAAAGACCAAAGGATAAGGAGGAGGTGACCCTGGGGGAAAAATGACAAGTGACGTTTGCTTCCCAGCCCTGCAAAGCTGGGCACCACGTTTCTCAGAGGTGCCCCATGGCGTTATTGCCCCTGCAAACATAGCCAGTCATGCCTCCCAGTTCCCCTGGAGCAGAGTGCAGCCCAGAAATGTGGTCTATTCCAGACCACAGCCAGGTGACCCGCCTCTGCCTCGGGAATGGCCATGGTTGATGTGAGCTCACACTTTCCCTTTTCAGATTATGACGTGTGTTCCGAGGCGCCCTGTGAACAGCAGTGCACAGATAACTTCGGCCGTGTGCTGTGCACTTGTTACCCGGGATACCGGTATGACCGCGACAGATACCGGAAGCGGGAGAAGCCCTACTGCCTAGGTGTGTTGGCAAAATGCATGTTATTTCCCAGCTCCTGGCATTGTGCCTCGTTCAGAGGAGGCTGTGCTGTGTGGGACGCTCTGCCTCAGTGGGGTCAGCCCACAGGAGCCGTTCCAGCCTTTGATTCCTGCCCTTCCGTCCTGATTCCTGTCACATGCAGTATCCTGGCATCATTCTAGGGGATCGCTTGATTATTGAAACAAATGCTGGCTGAGCAATTCTTCAGGGAGTTAATTCCAGGCTGGACCTCATGTGCAGTGAGGTATATGAGCAAGAGAAAGGAGGTCATTATCAAATGTAAACTAGAGGACTATAAAACAGAACGTAAGTGAGCAGAAACATGAAAACCGAAACGAGAGTGAGCATTCTCTCAGACGAGGACCAGGAAGAGAGGCTGGGGAAGAGGAGTGTCCAGGTGGCAGACAGGGTGGGCGTGAGTCAGGGACCTGAAGCCAGCCGCCCGGACCGCAGCTGAGCAAAATCAGCACCAGCCACCGCCACGGCGTGTTCCCTCCCCCTGCCCTGTGCTCTCTGAGTTTCTGAGTTTCTGGTTTATTGTCCCCTGGGGCCAGGTGTTTCCAAGAGTGGTCAGTCATGGCTAACCTGTCTCAGAAACATCTGGAGTTCTCTCTTTAAAAAAAAAAAAAAAAAAAGATTCCTAGCCTCCCCTCCAGACTCTGGTGGTGGGTGCAGAAATCTGCATTTATACAAATGCCTCTAGGGACTCACTTGCACGGTCAAGGTTGGGAATCAGCTTGAGGATGAATTGAGAAGACTGGCACATGGGGCCAATGGAAAATAAAGGAGCTGTGATGAGCAGGAGCTCAGGACATCACCATTTTTAAAAAGTTCCACATATGAGGTCTCCTGGCCTCTCCTCAGGGGGAGGCGCCCCATGCTGACAAGGAATGGGACTGAGACTACCACGTGGACAGACAAGGGTCCACAGCCTCTCCTACAGAGAGCACAGTACTCCACTCTATGTCCCCGAGGTCCCAGGCACAAGGGCTGTGTGCTATGATACCCTGTCCTTTTCATTTGGGGATCAGCAAAACCGGCTTTCTGCTAGGGTTTCCATCTATTTCTCTCTCTCCTATCTGTCAGCCTCGTCTTCCCTCCTCCAAACAGGGGAGGCAGCTTCATGCTCAGGTGTAGGGCAGGGACACGTGGAGAGAGGTGGGACATGTGAGGAACTGCAGGGGAGGAGCCAGCTGTGACATCTTTGTCTACAGGTAACGTAGTATGTACCGCCAGGGGGAACCTCCAAATGCCCACACTCTCCTGGGCTCATGCAGGGTCGGCCACCGGCAGGCCCCGACGCTCGTCCGGGGCGCAGCTGTCAGCACGCAGGAGTGAGGGCTGGGCCTCTCGGCGGCCACATGTGCACCGTCTGGGCTGTGTCGGGCTCCCACTCACTACCCCCCAGTGTGTTCAGCCAGTGAACAGGAACAGAATTGGGCTCCCTCTCCTCTTCTTGGTGGGAAACAGTTGTGTTTCTACCCTGCTCAGTAGGGGAGCAAGTCTGTGATGTGACCAGTTTGCATGAACCCCGACTGATTACTTGTTTGATGGTCTCACGGCTCATTTCCACAGCTCACGAGGAGTCTGTTAGGGTTGCTGATGAGGCCAAAACTTTGTGGGGAAAACTCTCTCCATCAGACCCATTATAACTATTTTCTTTTAACCAAAGTGGTTTTCCCAGGTACCATCACATCTCTTAACTGGGAAGGAGCCCTTCCTAAGTGACCTTGGGTCACCACGTGCTATTTGGAATGAAAAACCCTCAGCACACTGGGGTCCGTGCAGAAAACTGTTTCTATCCTGCTCACTTTTCAAAGTGCGTCGCCAAAGGCCATATCCTTTTCTCCCCCAAGGAGCCCTGCAGGTGAGAACTTTGAAGGCCTGCGGTGGCCGGCCCCAACCACCTGACTGGGAACCCCCTCACGGATTTGTTTGTAACCATGGTGACACCGCCAGAAGCGCTCCTGTCACTCCCCTTTCTAGCTGCTTGCTTTTGTCCAGGTTTCTCTGGTAGAGGTGTGGCAAAGTGCGCTTTGCAGACACGAACAGAAGGGCCAAACCTCATGTCGCCTGTTGCATCAGAGGTGAATTCTTGGAAACTGAGTGTTGTCTGCGTGTGGTTCAAACCCAGATATCGACGAGTGTGCCACCAGCAACGAGACACTGTGTGCACACATCTGTGTCAACACTGTGGGCAGCTACCGCTGTGAATGCCGGGAGGGCTACATCCAGGAGGACAACGGGAGGACATGCATCAAGGGAGACAAGTACCCCAATGACACTGGTGGGTAGGGCAAGTACAACTATCCCCCTAATTGGGTGGAAGGGTGGGTGGATGAGTAGGTGGATGGGTAGGTGGATGGGTGGATAGATGTATCAATGGGTTGATGGATGTATGGATGGATGAGTGAGTGGGTGGATGGATGGATGGGTGAGTGGGTGGATGGATGGATAGATGGATGGATGGGTGGGTGGATGGATAGATAAACACTAGGAAGGGGCATTTATATGAATAGTAGGTGGGACCTGGGTAAGAGGAGGCAAGGTCTTAAGGTCAAACCTCTGCTAAAGAGACCTGGTGAGAACAATGCCTATTAGCAGCAAGGGCTGTGAGGCGGTGAGCACCTGAGGAAGCCGCTACCAAGCAGAGCTGGTGTGCTCATGGGTAAATCAGTAGAACTTAGTCACATGCTTAGGCCAAACTGCGATGAGCAAAGAAGAGGCCAGAAACACTGTGTTCCCTCAGAGAAAGTGGGCTGAATATAAATACGAAACATTTCCATGTAAGGTAACATGTATATCAGCGCTACTCAAAGTCTAGTCCATGGCCCTGTGCCTGCCAATGAACTGTTTGTTATTTGCTTCTTGATGGAAAGAAAACAGAAGTAGAGAATGTTTAGAAATTTTTATTCCAATTTGACGGAGAAACTTTGTCTAAGTCTAAAGATTTCTGCTGGTATTTTATGCCTAATTTTTCTAGTAATTTATTTTAATTGTATTTTGCAAATACAGTCACAATGAAGTGGAAAATTTTTAAAAGCTGGCCATTCCTCACAGCATTTGAGAGGCTGATTTACATTATGTCAGCCAGATTGAACCGAGCTGTCTGATCGATCGCTCAGGGATATGATCAGCTCGCATATTGGGTTACTTCTTTATTTAAGTTTGGAGAGAAAGGGGACAGGGAAGGAGAAGGGGGACCTGTGTGCTCCTGTATCCAACACTTGCAAGGCCAAGAAGTTGTCATCTTCCAAATCTCAGGGCTCAGGTCTCCTCTGTCACCCTTGGGAGGGGAAAGTATCAGGGACCCACTCAGTGGGGGGCGGCCTGGGGCCGGGCCTGGGCCATCGGTGGGAGGAGAGGGAGCAAAGCCCAGGTACCAAGAAATGCAGGGAGAGGAGAGGCCAGAGCTGGGCATTCAGGAGCCAGCCATTGATTTGGGGGCGGGGGTGTAGCCTGAGATTCAGAAAGTGGCAGAAGGCAGTTGCCATCAGCTCAGGACAGCCCACAGCTGGGGACCAGCTGCCTCCCACAGGAAAAACTGCAAAGCAAAATGATGAGGGACAAGTGGCCCGAGTCATGAGGAAGCCACCACATAGTAGAAGTAGAGGCAAAATATCTGTTTGGAGCCGGCTCAGAATTGGGTAATTTAGGATAATGTGAATGAATCAGAGGGCCCTGTGAAAACTATTTAAAGCCTGAAGCATGTGGAGCCCACATGCCCCGAGGTGCTTAAAGCAGGGGTCGGTTGAGGAGAAAAACTGTTTGCAGATTGTTCCCTCATGGAGGAGGTGGGGGCGGGGGGTGCCGGATGTGTAACTTAACTCTTAGGTTGTGTCCTATATTAAAAGGAAGAATCTCATTGAAAAACGAGGTGCAGCCTTTTAGCCACTGAGAGACATATCAATGTGTGGGCCAAATTAAGAATTAGCAACAAGAGGCCTGGCCAGGTGGCTCAGTTCACTGCAGCATGGTCCCACACACCAAAAGGCTGTGGGTTCAATCCCTGGTCAGGGCACGTACGAGAGGCAACTGACCCATGTTTCTCTCTCACAAGGACGTTTCTTTCTCTCTCCCCCCACACCCTTCCTCTCTCTCTAAAATCAATAAATATATCCTTAGGTGAGGATTTAAAAAAAAAGAATTAGCAACAGGAGAGCAGCTTTCTCATTTCTCACTTTGGAATTGGATTTCCAGCTGTGCTCTGGGCCAGGAAGCCAGTGGGCTGTCGGCAGCTGAGCCCAGCACCTCCGGTGTCTCTGTGCTTCATGTTTATATTCAGGTGAAATCCCATCTCCATGGGCGTGAAGGGCAGTGGTGAGCAATCCTCAGAAATAGTGACAGATTCTCATTGCTGAGTGTCAGGGTGGCACTGGACGGTAGGGATCGCCAAATAATAAAACCTCGTCCTGCCCACAGGCCGCTCCCACCTGGTGCCCACGGGCCTGCTCTTAACTAGCAGGGACCGTGTACAGAGACCAGGGCGGGGTTTTATCAGCGGAATTTACTGGTCCTTTGATCTCGGGTGGCCTCCTCCCCTCGCAGTAATACTTGGGTTCTGCCACCGCATGCCTCTTCAGTCCCATCCATTTTCCTGCTCTGCGGTTCCCTAGGGATGATCCTGAACAGCGACAAGGCAGCCTTGGTGGCACTCACTGCCTGCCTCGTGTTGGGCAGTGTGGACCCAGGGAAGGGCCCAGCCACTGGGGAGCGGCTCAGGAAGGCCTCACTGTGTCCATGACATGAGTAGCCTGTGGTGCTCAGTCTGCCCTGAGACCAGATTCCTGTTTCCTTTCCTAAGAAATGAATTGTACTTCGTAAAAATTTCCCAAACACACAAAAAGTGTCCGTACAAGGGATCAAGAGTTTTATTGAAGAGATGACCAGCTTGATGACCAGTGTGGCTGCTGTAGCTGATAATTCAGTAAAAAACCTGAGCTGTCATAATTATAAGGGATATATATTTGCAACTTTTTTTGTACCTTTTCTAATGTTACTTCATGTAAAGGCGTATTTTATCTCAACCATTTATGGCAGCATTTCTCCACATTGCGTTCTACAGAACTGTGGGGTCCTGTGGGTGTTGCTAAGCCTTTCTTCCTGTAGAAGCTTCTGTGGTCAGATGTTTGGGGAGGAAGGTGTTAAAAAGAACCCTTACTTCTTAAGGATTCATGATATGAGTGTAGTGAAAGTCTGAGAGAGATTACCATTTTTGGAAAAAAAAAAAAAACTTGTTAATTTTGATTAAATCTGAACTTCCTCAAATTAGTTTCTTAAGAAACACCTATAAACATCTCCCAGATGATGGTGTCCTGAGAACTAGAGTTTGGAAATTTCTAACTTATTAGCATCAAAACTCTGCACGCTGGGGCTGAACTTGGTAGGTCATCTGGTCAACCTGCAGGAAAGGATGCTTTCAGACACAGCCACATGGTCCAGAGGGAAGCCATTTGCCACAGACAGCAGAGCACCTGATGAACAAAACAGGACGAAACTCCTCCATCCTGCCGTTCCGAGAGACCGGATGTTCCTGTTTACAGGGACTGAGCAGGGACTGTCCTTCTGTTTAATGGGAAAGGACTGTCTCAGGGCTCTACTGCTGAGCTTTACTGAAACAAAGTCATTGCACAGATTCGCCTTGGGCGCTAATTCTCCCCACCTCCCCCCACCCTGCCTGCCCCCTCTAAATATAACAGCCTCAAATAATTTTTTAAAATGCCACTGTCTGCTGTACCACACTCCCCTGCCACCAGCAGCAGCATTATAAAAGAACACAGTATTTCATGTTTAATAACTGGTCTCTATGGATTTTACCACATATGCACAAAGGACTTAGCATTTGGTTTTAGTGTTTTACTAAGGAAAACATTCCAACACCAGTTGCCAAGGAAATCAGGGAGTTACAGGCTGAGAGGAGTAATTCATACACGAAATTATGAGAAAGGACAGCCACGTTGTATGCCCTGAATGTGAAAGTCTTGACTCAAGTGATGGGCCACTGAGAAGGCGAGGGGCTGGCTTTGATGGCTCTGGCCACAAAAAAAAAACAAAACAAAAAACAAACAAACAAACAAACAAAAACAGTGCCCCGGATGCATTTCTTTGAGAGCAGTGATGATCCAGAAAGTTCCTTGGCTTAGAAGCAGGGGTGTCCAACTCACAGCCCATGGGCCGCATGTGGCCCAGGATGGCTATGAATGCAGCCCAACACAAAATCATAAATGTACTTATTACATTATTTGTCTCCATTAGCGTTTTTATATTTAATGTGTGGCCCAGGACAAGTGTTCTCCCAGCGTGGCCCAGAGACACTGAAAGGTCGGATGCCCCTGAGGGGTTAGCAGAGCTGGCAGCTGCTTCAGCATGAACGAGCTGAGTGTCCCTGGGTGGGTTTCCGGGCCTCAGGTTCCTCCCCTGCAGACAGGAGAGTTGGATGAGGGGAGCAGGGAAGACCCTTTTCCCCTTGCAAATATTTTTGTGCAATTTGGTGTGATGTAGCTTAAGTAAAAGTAACATGAGCCCTGCCAGCCCTGTGAGTCCCCGTGTGGGCACTTCTTTGTCCTTCATCTCAGCAAGTGCCCAGACTGCAAGACACCCAGCTTTAACATCACAACAGAGAACTTAGTCAGTCTAAAGGCTGAAGAACCAGCATGCAGCTATTCAGCAAGTCAGGGGCCAGACGAGCCTTGCGTCTGGAACATCAGGGGCAGCTAAGTGGTTTCATGTGTTTTGGACTAATTAATAAGCCAAATATTTCATCACAGTCTTTTTCTTTTTTTTCCGGATGAGGAGCTAATGATTATTATTAAGTAAACACCTCTTTTTCCTCTTGTTTTTTTTTTTTAAACTTTGCATAGCCCAATGTCTGTAACGTTACAGTCAGAAGAGTTTAAAATTGAGCCCAGCCCCAGCTCCTTGTTCGGAGCAGGCTGGGAGCCACGGGGGGCGGCCCCCCCACGCCGCCATCCCAGAGCTGCCTCTGATCACTGAAAGGTCGCCCCGCACACGCGGGCATGGTGACTGGTCTGGCTCGAGCGGTCACTTTGATTCTCTCTTTGAGAATGTGTAGTTGGAGCCAGTTTAGCCGCTCCAGGGAGTCTTTGTAGCCCCCAATGAGGAGACAAATTAAGGACATGTTGGCTCCATAGTAATTAGCTTACAGATCTCTATTTTTCAACTTTTGTTTACTTTCTGATAAAGTGACCGCGACCCCCAGTGTCACTTATCACAGTTCAAAGTGTCAGCGAAGGCCAGGTGTTTCATACAACTTCCCAGCGCCACTAATCCATAGATCAGGGGTTCTCAACCTGGGAGCTTTAAAAAATGACACTGTCCCCCTGCTGTGACTCCCGCATGGGTGGGGCGCAGCACCGGCGGTGGGGTTTGTAAAAGCCCACCACGTCGCTGTGCTGTGCCGCCAGGGTGGCGAGCTCCGGCCTGGGCACAAAGCTGCACCATCAGCTTTAAAAACAAACACACTTTGTTCATTTGTGACACTGCTCATGTGAAATATGTTGGGAACATTCTTTAGTTTTTCTAGGTTTATTAATTATTCCTAGTATGGTATGTAAGGAATTCTATTTCTAATGCTTAGGGTATGTGTATACACGGCCCAGCATCTGTAAAAATTAGAGCTATCTGCCCCCATGTGGCTAATTGATAATATTGCACCTTTTAAGATCCGAATAAGTTGGAGCAAGATGGTGTGATACCTTAACACCGGCATGACAGAGACGCTCAAGGGCTACATCGAGAGAACTGAAAACAAAGTGTAAGATGTCTACCCAGATTTCTAAAGGAATTACTAATGGAGCATACGCAGGGTTATTTTAGCTCCACATCTGACAGTACTGTAGACAAACTGCAGCGTAGATGAGCCCCAATTAGGAATAGATCGCATGCGCCAATCTGCACACACAATGATTTATCTTCAAATCCTCTGAGAGCTCTTTCCAAAGGAAGAGCATGGCATCTGTAATTTTGTAGATAAGTTTTAAAAGATACCAACGATAACAATCATTAACATTCAGGGTGCGCCTGTCCCATGGAGCATTAACGTTCGCTAGGCATTGCCATGGGAACTTGCAGGTGTTATTGACCTCTCGCAGCAACCCCAGATGTGAAGTGCCATTGTCCTTTTTACATTTCAAAGAAGGTTGCTCACAGAAGCTGACTTCCAATCTGAAAGGCCCTAAGTGGCAACATCAGGATTCAGTCAGTCCCGATCATCAGACTCTGAGGACCAGGGCCTGTACTCTTTGCTACTTTGTTACTCTGTCTGTGGAAGCTCCACAAGTCTTTGGAACAAAGTTCGCCTTGATCTCTGCTCCGATCATTTCACAAAGGGTTGGAAAACAGGCCAGGCATCTTCAGGTCAAAGGCTGCTCAGCAGAGCTGCCTCCCTGGAGCAGTGAATGTGCTTCCCAGGCACGGGGAGGGCTTTGCTGGAATACTGCGCTGGGCCCGCTCCCAGGATTTTGGATTTTGGAGGACAGGCGCCCTGTCACTGTGGTGCTGCTGCTGCTGCTGCTGGTCTGGCGAGCACGCCTGGGAACCACTGCCCTGGGGCCAGCCTGGCAGATAGTTCTCGAGTGTTCTGAGCAGAGCTCTCAGCAGCGGGCTGGCTCCCTGGGCCCCCCGCCCCCCAGTGCCCGGGGTTCAACCTCAGCAACCAGCACTCTGGGAGACCAAAGTTACTTTCCTTATCTGCAAAGGAGATTGGACTAAAGATACATTCCTTCTAACTCCCCATGATATAAACGAAATAGAGTCTAGAAGCTGATAAAGAGGCTTACTCTTATGAAAATATCAAATTGCCGTAATTACACCAATACTTGGAAAGTTGAACCGAGTGGACGAAAGTAGAAATGAAAAGACGGGCTTATAACCTTGTTTGTAATGGCCTGACTGTGCTGGCAGGGCTAGTTGTGTAAAAGGAAGGCCAATCACCAATCATTAAACAGGTATCCCCGTTTATTTTGCATTCCCAGGGCCTCACACAATAGCCAATGCTCCAGAGATGGGTAGGAGGGAGAGAAGTGAATGGGTGAATGGGTGAATGGGTGGATGGACAGACAGACGCATAAATGGGAGAGAGAGAGAGAGAAGTGGGTGGGCAAATGGGATGGATAGGTTGCGGGAGGGGACTGTTCAGGGGCCAGCAGATGGGACGCCATGGATGATGGCACTTGGGAGAGGTCAGTGTATCCAGCTGGCCTTCAGCAGTGACAGACCTGGCACTGGGGTCGTCTGTTTTTGCCAGGACCCACCATTCTCTACCATGAGCACAAAGTTGGTTAAAGCTTCAGTCATTTACCACCGAGTATGATCTTGCATGGAAATGCCCTGGTGTCTGTTACATGGGAGACTGAGCTAAATAACTCTAGTTTGCCTCAGAGGAGTTCGAGCCCCACAGGCAAGGAGGGGTGTACATCGGGACATTAAACGGGGGTGAGGAGCCCGGAGAAAATTGTGTGATCCGTGGGAAGGAAAGGCATGGGACTCGGGTTCAGGAAACCTCCGTTGGAAACCCACATCGGCTGTTACCTCGCTAGTGACTTTCAGAAAGGGCGGCTTAAAGGACAGAAGTGTATTGTCCCAGTTTTGGAGGTTGTGAGTTCGGGATCAGCGTGTTGGTGGGGTCAGCTCCTTCTGAGGGGTGTGAAGGAGAGTCTGTTCTGTGTCTCTCCCCTGAATCCTGGGGGTTCGCAGAAATCTCTGGTGTCCCTTGGCTTCTGTTGCGTTGCCCTGACCTCTACCTTCATCTTCGCGTGGCGGTCTTCCTGGGTGCGTGGGTCCAAATATCCCCGTTTTTATACGGACACCGGTCCTATTTGATTACATGCCCCTTTATTCCAGTCTGGCATCATCTTAATGATATCTGCAATGACCCTGTTTTCAAGTAAGGTCACAGGCTGAGGCACCGGGGGTTAGGGTTTCAACATGTAAATGGGAGGGGGCAGGGACAATTCAACATCAAACACCCTTTCGCGCAGACATTTTTTGAGCATTCACTATGTGAGCTACCAAGAAGCAACCCCAGCTCTTAGGTGGCTCCCGCTCTGGCACCAGTACCCGCTTCCTCAGGGAGGCCTGGAACTCTCACCGTCTGAGTGGGACATGTGGCAAGCGCCCCCGGTCTCAGAGGAAAGCAGCGTCTCCGTACACACAGAGGCAGCTTTGTGGAACGCTTGAGCTGGGTCCTGCTGGTTGGTGCGGCTCCACGAACGGAGGCTGCAGAGAGGGCTTCCCAGAAGAGAAAAGCACATGGGCCAAGAGGCACAGGAAAGGACCTGGCAAAGGCCTTACTCTACTGTGCCCGAGCTCCATTCCAGATGGCGGTGTTATCTGTCACGCTGCCCTGACCACCCTAACAAAACGCCCACGCCCCCATCACCCCGCTCTGGGCCCACAGCACTGCCCCCTTCTGCGCGGCCCTGGTGGTCTGCACCTGCTCATCGGTCCCAAGGTGACCTCCGCGTCTTGTCCCCCAGTACTCAGGTATCTGGCTGCAGCCCACTCCAGCGTCAATAGGATGGCGGCTGTGTGACTTCCTGCCCAAGTCACCCTTTAATGCACCCATTTTTCCTTTAGCAAAATACACCTCTACAAAAAGCCCTGGAGCTCCCTGCACTCTATAAGGTGGCATCGGGACCCTTCCTGGTGGGCGGCTGCTGTCACTTCCCAGGCCTGTGCCCTTGGCCCCGGGAGGGTGTGTCCAGAGTGCCTGGCACACTTTCCACCCCAGCTTCGCATGTCCATGGAGGTCAGTGTCCAGCCCTGATCTGTGACCCCCACCCGGCCTGGCCTCTGCCTTTGATCAGCGGGGTGATCAGAGGTGACAAGAACCAGCTCCGTGAGCCCTGCATGGGGAAAGTTATCCCGCTGCCTGAGCATAGGGATAATTTACGGCGTGTGAACATCGGCCCTTGGAGGGGAATGTCAGTCATGTTATGTTGATGCAGCCGGTCTCCCAGAAAGGTCCTGATGAAAGGGCCAGGGTTCACATTTTCCCACATGAAAGAGAAAGAGAGAAGGCTGCTTAAATGGGAACAGCTGAGCCCGAAACAGAGTGGGGCCCCGCCTCCTTGCTCCCTGACCCAGGGCGCGCTGTCAGTGCCCCGAGAACCATAAAATCCCCGCCACGGCCCCCCGTCCGCCAGTCGGCCCAGGGCTGCCTTTCCTGATGCAGCCTCTGCGGGGCTGGATGTCCCCCAGCCTCCCAGATGGCCGACCAGCGCCGTCTCCTCTCAGGGCACGAGGAGAAGTCTGAGAATGCGGTGAGAGCCAGCACTTGCTGCGCTTCGTGCAAGGAGTTCCACCAGATGAAGCAGACGGTGCTGCAGCTGAAGCAAAAGGTACGGACCCGGAGGGTGAGAAACGATCCCAAAATAGGAGGACGTGGCAGAGGTAAGGTGGAAGAATGTTGAGAAACCAGAAAAGAAATCTTTGACCTCGTTGAGCATTCACGGAGGCCGGAGCCAACTAGGCTTAGGCTGGAACGATTTGCCCACCAGCCTCACAGCTGGCGGAACTCAGTGAAGCAGCGGAGGGACTAGGTGAGTATTAAAATAGACCCCTAGGGAGGGGGCGTTTTTAAAGGTGCCTGTTAAAATGTGGTGAACCCCGACCTGAAGTTGTGCCAAGCTGACTTTCAGGCTACATAAGATTTTTTAATGTAATCTTTATTGTATTTCTTCAATATAATTTTGTAAAATTTTTGTATTGTTCAATTATAGTTGTCCCCATTTCCCCCCGCCCATTCCTCTCCCCTGCCCTACCCACCCTCCCACCTCCCACATTCAATCCTCCCCCCTGGCTATCCTTGTCTATGGGTCCTTTATACATGTTCCTTGGCTAAGATTTTAATTGATGGTCCCCTCTGCTGGATTCTGTGTACCGGTCACAGGGGGACAGAGCGCCTTACCTCTCTCAGAGAAGCGCCAGGTCTTCTCGAAGATGGAGGAAGGCAGCGGGCGGCCAGGAGTCTCCAAGCTCACGGACCCTCCAGGCTGTCCTTACCCCTGGTTTTCATTCTACCTAAAGGGCCCCCAAGCTTCCTAGGAGTGCACATATACAAGTGTGGGGCGTGCCGAGGGGCTCTTTGGAAAACAGTATTGATGCTTTGAAGTTCCAGGCTGGGGAGCCAGCCTCCCAGGCCAAACTAGGTCACCTGGGGCCCTGAGCAGTTGGCTGGCTGGCTCGGGTGATGGGGTGTTATCATGAAAAGGCTTCGCAGCCACCGCAGAAAACACTGCGTGAAGAATCTGCCGGCAGCGGGGACTTCGCTCCCTGACCAAGGCTCCTCTTCTCTCTCTCTGTTTGCAGATTGCCCTGTTCCCCAACAGTGCCGCCGACCTGGACAAGTACATCACTGACAACAAGGTGCTGGCCTCCAACGCCTACCTGCCGGGACCTCCTGGCCTGCCTGGGGGCCAGGGCCCTCCCGGTGAGTGTGGGCAGGGCATCGGAGGGTGGTAGTCACCAGCCAGGGCCTTCCCAGAGCGCGCGTTCAGTGGGGGCCAGGCGGAGCTGTGCCGCTGCTGTGGGGCAGGGAGCAGGGGCAGGAATCCGGGGAGGGCCCACACCTACGCGGAGAGAGGGACTTGGGAAACAGGGTCCCCAAGCCTGGAAACCCTCACAGCCAGTGGTCGCTTGGGAGACAAAGGTCAGTGTCCTGCGCTTGGATAAGATTCTTAGGAATCATGTTAAGTTGCAGAGAAACAGGAGGGAAACTATGTTTTAACAGGACTATATGCAAAAATTGGCTGGGATCATGAGCCCCCGCGGACTCTAACCGCGCAGGGCCAGCCTGGTTTCCCCTGTTCCCAGGCCTGCCTCCTCCTCCTGATTATCTGTGAACAGATTTGCATCAATATTTGTTCACATATATTCTTTTTCTTTATAAGCCAACCCTACTGAGATATAATTATACACAATAACATTATCCATTTAAATGACAACTTCTGACACAGGTATACATCCTAGATCAAGCACTCACTAACCACCACCCTGTACCTGTATCTACATCAAGATACAGAACATTTCCATTTCCCAGGAACAGGCCCTCATGCTTGTTTGCAATCTGGTCCCCACCCCCGCTCCAAGCAACCACTGACTTTCTTTCTATTGCTACAGTTGTGTCTGGTCTCGAACTGCATAGCAATGAACTTCATCGTGTGTATTTTTTGTCTGGCTTTGTTCATTTGCTATACTGTTTTGGAGATTCACCCTTATTACTTTGAAGAAATTGTCAAATGTTCTATCATTCCATCAGGATAAATGCAATGAGAACTTTAAAAATTAGTTACAAAATGTTATATTTTATATCTTACAAATATAAAAGATATTTTACATTTTTATGATTCCCTCCACAGACAGATAGAGGGATGGATTCTTTTTCACAACCGGAAAGGAAATGATAGGAATGTTAGCAAATGATTCTAAAACATGGAGGGCTTTATCGCTGCTTATCATTGCTTAGCAGTGCGCTAGGTGTTGCGAGTGACCTCCCAACATGCTAATCGGGAAGACAAGACACACAGAGCAAAAGCAAATAGGGTCAAACAGTATCTGCGCGTTCCCGTTTCAGTGCTCAGTGCTTCCTGCTATGGAGCTTAAAGCAGGAAGAGACCACCATAGCCTGCCCCGACCGGGGCCTTGGGGTTTGAGCCAGACGTGAAAGAAAGACTGGTGGGATCTATCCAAACAGGGAGGACACAGGTAGATTTTGGTTTGGAAGGTCCAAAGGAACAAAGGCTCAAAATTCTTCTCAGGCTATTTATGGGTTTTCCTCTCTACTTACTTCTCAATCTCCTGGTTTCCATCAAACACAGGTGGTCTGGGTCTCAGTCTGTACAGAGAACAAGAACTAGCCCAGGACTTTGGTTTAGCCTCTTGTCCCTTCCCTTGTCCTGAAGTACTCTGGGTCACAGTGGGGTTGTCTCCAGGATATGCCTCACAAAGGAAGCTTCTCGCTGCTCTGAGTAGACTTGGCTCTCTTCCTACACGTTGCTTCGTTCCTAGCACAGCGTTCTCCACCCTTCTCCAAGAGGACGCGCCTACTCTGCTAACCTGCAGGAAGTTGTCTCCAGGCTGGACCACTTATCCCTCCCACAAGGACAAGCTGCCAGCAAGGGTGTCTTTCATTGGCTGCCTTCCTTCCTGATAAATGACTGGCCAACTTTCTTTCCAGTCTGCCCTGTGGTGTCCAACATGGTTTGAGCTGTCCAGGGTCCTTGATGGAGCAGGAAGTGATTGGGGGCCAGCCTGAGCACTGGACTCTGCCCTTGCGCTCTCCTCCTGGCCTGCTTCTTTCTCTGCACTTCTAATAGCAGCCCTTCATTGAGCGGTGTTAGGGCAGCTAGAGAAATAACAAGGTTTCTCTTTCCCTTAACTAGAAGTCCAGTCCCCGGGCCTCTGATTGGTTGGGGCACCAACACAGGAAGCTATATTAAGTTGGGATCCTTTGGCTTTGGAGGTGAGGGGTGGCGGCTGCTCTCTGGCCCCCACTGTTGTGTGTAAGGTGATGCCATTTGCGCATGAAAGCCCCATTCTTTAAAGGCGTTGGACGTACAGTGATCTCTGAAGGTCACTGATTATTAAGACTTTGTCCCTGGCCTGTCCTCGTGCTGTTAGAGGTAACGCATTTAGTTACAGGAGGCATCTGGTCTCCTTTCCAGTAAGTTCTGCAGGATGCACCTGGAACCAGCGTTGAGGGCAGGGGTGTGAAACAGGTTTGAATGGCATATCGACTGCCTTCGGCTTTGGCTTAATTATTCAAGAAAAGCCTAACAGGCTTTTTTAGTACTTTTACATGTGAGGTACTCTGCGGAGTGATGCATGTAGGTATCTAAAACCTCATTTAATACTCACAGCCACTCGGTAAGGTAGATTTTTATCAGCCCAGCTTTTCAGATAAGAAACAAAGGATGAAAGAGGGCAAGTAGCTCGTTCAGGAACTAGAACGAGGTCTCAGATGCTGAAACTTAGACTCTTGACCACTGTCCAGATGTGGTAACACCGCCCTGCTATGACCGAGGGGATACAGAGGAACCGACAGTTATAAGAGAAGTGGAGTAGGTATAATGTACAGGAACTGGTCACCAATTGGATAAGGGGGGATGTGGAAGAGGGGAATTCTTTAGGAAGGCCTACTAGATTCTGGCTTGAGTGGATGAGTGACTGGTGGTTTATGAATAGTGAAGAAGATGCGGAAGTCAAGTTAGATCATAGTAAGTTTTAAATGCCAAGGGGACATCCCAGTGGATGTGTCTGAAGGCAAAGGGCGCAGCGCGCAGCGAATCGGCTACACGGGCTGGCAGATTCTTGGGAGCCTGTGCCCTGGTCTCCCCCGCAGGATGAGGCGCTCATGAGCTGTTCTTTGATTACAGGCTCGCCGGGACCGAAGGGCAGCCCAGGCTTCCCCGGTGTGCCGGGCCCTCCAGGGCAGCCGGGCCCGCGGGGCTCCATGGGGCCCATGGGACCATCTCCTGACCTGTCCCACATTAAGCAAGGCCGGAGGGGCCCTGTGGTCAGTATTTGCTCAGAGACCCACTTAACTGTTCTTGTCCCCAGGTCTTTCCTTACATTAAACCGGATCCCTTTGTCTTGCAGGGCCCGCCGGGTGCCCCAGGAAGGGATGGCTCTAAGGTCAGTCTAACGAGTGGTCCTCTGAAGCCTACGGTTGGTTCCTCAGTCTCTGAAAAGCTCTAGCACTGTTTACTGTCCCCATTGTGCATGGTAAAACTGAGACACAGATACACTCCCTCCCACCCCAGAAAAATCTAAAAAGCCATTTCCTTAAAATATGAAACACCCATAATAACAAAACCACCACCAAAATCATTCCTGAGAGAAGTTACTCCTGCAAATCTGAAACAAAGCCCTGTGTGGTCCTAGTAGTATGTCTTTCCCTTTAGCCACTGTTCTCCCATAGGGCAGTTTTGTGTGTGACATGTTCAAGTCCACAACAGGAGACGTTCCATTCTGCGTAGATGGGGGTGGTTTCACATTGAGGGCTGCCTGCTACTTCCCTCACAGGGTCCGTGTGCAATACTTTAGAAAGCTCCTAAATTATTCCACACGCGGCCTGGAAATACAAGCATTCCTCTTGTCACATCTGGTTTGAAAATGTATGACCTAGGGGTTACATCTGAAGGAGAGACACTTGACCCAGGCAGCTCTGTTCAGATAAGTGGTCCCATGAGTCCAGCGTAAGCTGACATTTGCTTCCGACGGAAAATACTTGTTGTTTTGGGCAGGGACATGGTCGTGGTGGGTGTGTAAATTGAGACTGTGGTGGCGGTGTGCATATGGTCCAGAAAGCTAACCTTGACCTTTCTGCCTTTAGGGAGAGAGAGGAGCCCCTGGACCCAGAGGGTCTCCGGTAAGTAGCGCCCCCATGAGAATGTTCTCAGGCTACAGCTCAGAGAAGCCTGCAAGTGGCTCTCAGCAAAGCCGGCTCCTCCCAGCCGTCACCAGCCCACCCAAACAGAGCAAGGGGGTTAGGAAGAAAGCCATAGAGGCCCTCCGCAGCTGCTTGGAATTTATCTTGAAAATTTGTTTTCTATCACTTTTTCTTTTATCATGGCTAATCTTTATTAGAAATGTCTTAAGATTCAAAACCTCAGTATGCCATGAGTCTGTTTCCAGGTATGTTATAAAATACCTGAAGAGACCATGGGGAAAAAAAGAAAAAAAAACAACTCTATGGACCTACGCCCTAACTCCGAAGGCTTAAGAATTTAGCCGCTGCCACAGCTGTAGCAGGGCAGTTGACCATCCCCCGCAGGCAGTACGGAGTGAGGCAAGGTGGCTGGGGCCACTGAGAAGAAATTAGCTAGAGAGATGTGTGGTGCCTGGGAGATTAACAATATCAGTAGTATCCAAAAGCACAGAAAAGTCAGCAACTCCATTGCTTTTGAAGAGGTCGCTGTCGTTTCTGAAGACAAAGAGCTTCAGCATTAGAGGTAGGAGGTCTGGGTTCCCGTCTCAGCTCTTCCAACTGCCAGCTCTCTGATCGCGGCCACGTCACAGAGCAGCCCTGGGCACCCATTCCCTGGCCTGTGTGGTACCAAGGGGGATCTGACCTGCCACGCGTCAGTGAACGTCCAGTAAAGTCAGAACACCACGCATCACTAAGTACCTCAGATCGGAGCTGCTCCTTCCCGCCAGCAGCATAGGTCCCCTCAACTCCACTTAGGTTACAGCCACAGTCAAGCACCCCGATAAACAATCTAATAATTTTGTTTTTAAAAGACCACATTTTTGAGCATTTGCTATGGTCTGAGCCCTTTGCATGTATTAACTCATTTAAATACTCCCTTGGAAGCCTATAAAACCCAGTGAAGTTTAGCCTATTATCCCCTTTTAATAGACAGGGAGGTGGAAACCCAAAGTAATTAAGTAACTTGCCCAGGACCAGCTAGCAAGTGGCAAAGCTGAGATTCAAGCCCAACAGAACGCCAAGCCCTGAACCCCTACTCTGAGCCTCCATAGTATCTTCAGGTTTCTTTGGAAAGTGGCCTGGGAAGGTTCTCCTGTCCTTTCATTCTACCAGACTGGATGCAGCCTAGAATTGGGAGGAAAGAGAGGAGACTATGTCATACAGAAGACGAGGGAACCAGAAGGCAGTGGGGAGAGTCCCTTGGGCCACGATAATAGCCCCGTGTTTTCTCCATGTGGGACCCAGAATTATAGACTAAGTCCTTGCCAGCCTGCAGCAGGCACAGCAAGTGATGGAACCACGGAAGCCGTCACTCTGTGAGGGGCTGAGTGGGTGGTGGTCTGGCTTTGACTCCTCTCGTGCGCACAGGGCCCCCCGGGTTCTTTCGACTTCCTGCTGCTGATCCTGGCCGACATCCGCAACGACATCACTGAGCTGCAGGAGAAGGTGTTCAGGCCCCAGGCACGCCCTCCAGCAGACGACCTCCCTCTAGCTCAGGAATTCTCCAACTATCCAGAAACCATGGACTTTGGCTCCGGAGATGACTCCATGGAAAGAACTGAGGCAAGAGACCTGGGGGCCCCCAGAGACTTTTACCCTTAGCACGTGCCAACAGCTTCATGGCAAAGGAAGAGGAGAGCTTTCATACCCGCAGTTAAATCATCTAAAGAAAAGACCAAAAACAAAAAAACCACCCACCACTGGAGACCTGGACAAGATACATTATTTTCTTTACTCCTTTCCTGCCTTCTACCTGCTTCTTGTTTGCTCTCTGCTAGACAGTGCTAGACATGAGGGAGTAAAGGAATGATTTATATGCCTCCCCCTGAGAGCATGTAGGGTGGTTGACATTGGAACTTCTCCCCTATTTATTTATTTCTTTTAAGAACTTCTGACTTTCTGGATTAAGCACTCTCACAGTATCTTAGATTTGACAGAATCAGAAGGAAAAGTGGCGAGGTGAGCTCAAAGAAATGTGAGGTTACTTATAAAAAGAATTAGATGCATGGCCCAAAGAGGCTTTTACTCCTCAGTATAAAAACAAGGCCTCTTCAATGAAAAGGGGGAGACGCGAATGTATATTTCCTTTGGTGGATGATTCTTTTTCTTTGTTGATCTAATAGAGTTTAAATATTTAGCCTCTTGTCCAACTTCATTTCCCAATGTTGATTAAGGATAGGAGTTCAGAAGGAGTGGAGATTATTAATCAAAACATGTACTGTCATATAGGTTGGCACATTCTAAATTCAAAAATGACCATTAAGCGTCCGTGTGGCTCTTATCTCTCAGTATCCTATCCAGAAAAGGAAGATACTGTAGGTTGAGGACTAAGTCTTCTTTTCCAAAAAGAAAACTGAATCAAGGACCCTGATTCACCTTAGAACAACGGGCTCCTGGCTTGCCAGGACATTTTAAAGCTATTGGATTGAATGCGTGGACTTATTCAGTAAATCACAGATTCTTGGTTGTACGAGGGTGGCTGACCCTCAGAGAGAGGAGCAGAAGTTCCCAGGCTCTGACTGGGTGCCCAGAGGGGTCATTAGGCAATGATTCCGGTTGGATCAAAGTACAGTGGAGCGCAGGGCTGGGAGGAGGTGGCTGGCTTGGATTGTTGGCCAAGGGGAAGGGGAACCTCGGGCTGGGACCCCCACTCACAGGCAGAAGCAAGTAAATTTGCTCTCATAGAGAATTAGAAGTCCTCATCTGGGGCCAGCCAAGCTTGCCAACAGAGAGAATTATATCCACTATTGAAAGTTTGCCTAGATGTGGAGGAAGAAAAACAAGTTTTCCTTGTTTGGCAGAAATTTCCTTCCCACACGTCCTATTTTTCTTCAATTGTCCAACATGTAGTTCAAGGTCCAGTTCTTGCGGGCCTTCCCCTCGGTTTCCCTCTCCCAGCAAATATGAGAAGCCGTTGGGAAAGGGACATGTTCCCCAGCCCCCCACTCAGTCCATGTTTGCTTATGCACCTCTGGGTCCCCGGGGAAGCAGGTTCTAGAAAAGGCTTTGTCTGGATCCCCAGGGACAGGAGCCGGAAGAGCTGCTCAGAAGACGAGCAGAGACATCCCTCCTTTGTTGCGATCTTGGGGAACTTCTTGGCTTTGATGGGCAGCTTTCAGGTTTCTCCAAGTTCCTGTTCTCATTTGACACATGGAATGGCTTATCCATCCACCTGTTCAAGGGACCCTGGCCCACCGATTACCCCACCACAGCTCACATTTGCTTATCCTGGGTTTCCATTTCCCATCCTATGAGTCCCCCCTATACTTCTGGGAGATTTGTGGTTAGTTTTCCTTTTCCATCCTTTCACACTTTCCCTGGGACACTTGTTTTGCGAGAACCGCTGTCGGTGTTTGCAGGCCTCTTTTCTACCTTCCTCCAGAAAGATTGCAGATCTCGAGGGACAGCAGCCTTCCTTCGGTTCACGTTAGAAACCCCAGGCTGAGTCAGTGGGCCAGTTGCTGAGTCTGTCACAAACATGCCCCTCCTCCTTCCTCAGGCAAGTCCCCAGTGCTGGTCTCCAAAGCCCGTCTCCAAAGCGTTACAGCGAAGCAAGTGCGTTCTGAATGCTCCTCCCTCCTCCTCCTCCCTTTCCTCTCCAGCCCCGCCAGCCACGGGTTTCCGAAGAAATGAACTGAGTAGCTGTGGCTTCCCATCTGGAATGTATTTAATGTTTGCCTGCTTGCGGAGCACAGTATTTAAAGGGTGTGGGTGGGTGAGTGCTCAAGAAAATGATGCACGGGCTCTATGAGAAATGACTAGGGCTGTCTTTGATTGCTTTTCCATGAGGAATTTTATTAGCTTTTTTTTTCCTTAACAGTGAACTGTGTTCGGAAATATAATCTTCTTTATTGTTAAATGCTCATAAAATGCAAGCAAACTGCATGTTGGATGTGCAGAAACTAGGATAAATATAGCAAAAGAATGAGCTGATGGTAGTAATATCTGGGATTCAAGGCACCATTCTAGATAGAATTCGCCAGCAAAACACACAATAACCTCTATTTTATCATCTCAATCTGCTGGACTGGGTCAATGTATAAAACAATTATTCATCCTCAGATTTTCACAAGCTGGACTAGGCCCACAGGACTAAAAAAAAAAAATATGTTCTCTGCATGCCCAAATTATATTTTTCAAAGATAAGACATAGTAAGGCACTGTTATTTCTAATGTATCTTTTAGTTACGGATAAAAAACCAAAACTTCACTTTCTAAGCAGGCCATCTGCTCAAACCCAAGTGGAAAGGCCCTTTGGGGGGTGAAACTTGCTACAGTTTTACTAAGCCACTCCAGGGGTCAGGGGAGAAAAGGTCTCTGTGTACATCCTCAACCCTCTAGCAGACAGGTTGTTCACAACCTGATACCCGGGACTTGTGAATAGGACTGAAGAGGTTGCTTCTGTCTGGGGGAAGCAATGGGCATAAAAATCTGACCGGACGTAGTACAGGGCAGGCACACATTTCAGTTGGGGACTGTCCCCCTCCCTCCCCAGGTCCAGAGGAAGAAAGCGTGAGCGTGGCTCTGCCACAGGACACAGGGGCGCAGAGGGGATGCGTCGTCTCCTCTCTCCTGTGTTCATTACGACACCTGCCGCAAAACGAACGGACCACCAGAAGTCATGTGTACTGTATAAACTCAGGTGTGCGCACAGGGACACAACTCAATAATTAATGCACATTGGCGTGGGGGGGGCCGTGTACCCCCACATCCTAGGCGAAGGGCCTCCTGGTTCTAGCCATGCTCCATGGTTCTGGCCTTGTGAACCCTGTTTCTAGACATGCAGGGGGAGGTAGTCTCCACGCCAGACACCTCCCTGGGGTGACAGCAAATCCCTCATCATACTCTGGGTGTCACGCCCCCTCTCCCCCACCCACTCCAGCCGTCACAGAGAGAGACAGCAGCCTCATTGCGCAAACTGAACATCTGTCAGATAACCTTCCTGACAAAGACATCCATTTGCAAGAATCTAAGCCAAACAACTAGCAGAATAGAGCCATCGAAAGCTATTAGTGCATTCAGGGCAGTAGATGAATTTTTCCTGGCACTGTCAGGATGCATGTTTCACAACAAATCAAAAAAATGATTTACTACTTGAGGGGGAAAAAAACAACCATGACCATAATTGTTAACGCATAAAATCTTGGAATCACATGCTCCTTCAACACATAGTAGTACTTTAAGGAAGCCATAAGGGAAAAAAGACCCTTTTGCACATCTGCCCAGGGACCCCCGTGTTCTTTATTATGGCCCCAAAGCAAGAGCCCTGGGAGGCGTCATGCATGTCATGACTCTTCCCCGTGGCTACTCATAGTCTTCAGTAGCTATTTTGTTCATTATTTATAACAGGTCCATATATAACAGTTGAGCTAGTATTCAAATAGTTATGGATGTGATACTATGAAATACTTTTGATTGAGATTGTATATGCTTAATAACAAAGTTATTTTTCTTATGTGGTTGTACTGTGTTTCATTCTGATACCCAGTCCTGTGGAATGCGTTGTCTTTTTCCAAGATGAATACAAGAGAATTCATTCTCCTCGGAGCCAGGACTGCATCCTGGGCAGGCCACCTCCTGGGCTGTGAGTGTGGTCCCCACATCTGAGTCTGAACCAAGGTCTGAAAGCCCAGGTTCCACTGAGTTCTGAGTCTCAGAAGCCCACACCCTCTAGCTGGGGGTGGGGAGTCCTCTGGGACCCCCAGGGTGGGGTGTTCAAACTGGGACAACTCAGGCGATCATCAGGGGTACCCAAGGAGCTCACGTGAGGGTGGGAGGAAGGGAATTTTCATCAGTTGGGCCAAATGGGAGGAAGTTATATAAAAAAGGGGGAGGTTCTTTCTAAGGGATTTTCCACATTCCAGCAGATGCCTTTAACATCCCGAAGTTCACCTATATTTCTGCATCTCCCTTTCCTCTAGCCAACATTTATTAAATGCTTGTCGAAAGCTGCACGCTGTGCTATGCACTGCAGAGGATGGGGAGCAAAAAGTCATAATCCCCGTCCTCCTGGGGATTTTTGGCAAAACAGACAAGGATCCTTCCAGGCAAAACACAGTAATTACATAAATATGCAATTACAAACTGATAAGTGCTATGAAGAGCAGTCAGTGCTGCAAGAGCCCATAGCAGCTCATGCCCGTAGGACCCGCCCTTCGCTCTCCGGTCACACGAGAAGCACCCTGCAGCGCCCATGCCACAGCCACGCCGAGAAAAGCCTTCCAAGTCCTCGGGGTAAAACCACAGTCAACGGAAATCTGGGAGACCCCTTCCTATATAATTTTTCCAGTCTTCTTCATTTAAAAAGCAGCTTGATGAACCCAAAGCTGGTGGACAGTGCCCACTGCCTCTGGCCACGCCATGTGTGCGGTCGGCTGGTGACGCCCTAAGCTCGGGTGTGACTACCCAGCGGACTAGGAGGCTGGTGCCTTCCCACCTGAGAGACCGCGGTTTTGAACAAAGCTTGCTGTGGTGCTTGCAGTACTGAAAATCTCCAAGGGCAGATTTTCCCCACTGCCTCAGGTCCAGGTACCGGTTCCAGGCTGGCCAAGTGCCAACCCTCACTTTACCCTTGGCGGTGGTGGGGGCGGGGTGTAGCGGCACCAGGAGTCCCGTGAGGGTTATGTGGGGGCAACCGCAATGGAATCGCAGTGATTTTCAACCTTTTCCATCTCATGGCACACGTAAGTTAATTCCTAAAATTCTGCTGCACACCAAAAAATATATCTTTTGCCTATCTGATGACAAAAACAGGTATAATTTTGATGATACGTTCATATGGGATGTCTATTGCTGTGTTGGCTATTGCCATTTTTTAATTTGACCATCTAAGGGAAAAGAGGTCAGGGCCCCTGACTAAATAGGTAATTGCATGTTTTAAAAATTCTTGTGGCACTTCGGTTGAAAATGGCTGTTCTCAGGGACCTGCCCAGATGTGAGAGAGAGACGCTGTTGGTTTTCTCAGCCTCCCATGTTGGAGCACCACCACCAAGTGCTTAAACAGCAGAAAGGCATTTTCTTACACTTCTGGAAGCGGCCAGTCCAAGGGGTGTCAGCAGCGGCCAGGCCTCCAGGAGGCTCTGAGGGAGAAGCCATCCCCCTCCCCTCTCCAGTGTCTGGTGGTTGCCATCGACCCCAGTGTCACTTGCCTCTGATGTCGCATGCTCTCCCTCCGTCGTGTCTCTTTGCCTCTGTCTTCACAGAATGTTCTTACCGAGGCATCTCCCTAGTGTGACCTCATCTCAATTTAACCAATTATATGTGCAAAGACCCTACTTCCAAATGTCACATCCTCAAGTTCCAGGCAGCCATGAACTGGGGGACAGGGGACACTTCAGCACGGAGCCGGAAAGAAGTTCTCGCTCCGTTCGCGCTCATCGCCCTCATCGCCCTCATCGCCCTGCCTATTTCCTTCAACTTGCCCACTTCGCACAATAAAAATGTAAAAGGGCCAAGGGTGTCAAGCAGTGACAGCTCAAAGTCCCTGCTCTCACGGAGTGTGCGTCCTGGTCCAGGAAAACAGACAAATGTATGTATTAGTCACGGTTCTCCAGAGAAATAGAGCTAATAGGATGGATGTCTATATATAGGGTGGGGCAAAAATAGATTGACAGTTG